ACTAATATCAGTGTTAGTGATACTGGAACTTACCAACTGACTGTAAAGAATTTAGCTGGAGAAGACACTGTTGATAATATCTCATTAAATGTCAAAGGTATGTACTTTATGTCATGAAATGTTGTGATCTTATTATTATTGTTAGCTCTTCCACTTATTTTTACTTCTTCGAGAAGCATTTTATTGAATGAGAGTGAATCTACATTATTAGAATGTAAAGCTGATGGTTTGCCTCCTCCTTCTATCACATGGCTAGCAAACAGACGACAGATTGGAGTAAGAGGAAATAGCAATATATAGCAATATAGCAATATTTTCATTGTTTTATAGGGATTGAGTAGTACGTTTACTATCACTACAGTAGCAACTGATAGTGTTAGACAAGATGTGCCTACTTTTACTAGTAGGCTAAATGCTACTGATCTACTTCCAACTCATAATGGTAGCTATGAGTGTGTGGTTGAGAACCAGGAAGGAACAGCAAGAATACAGTACAACATTTCAGTAATACCAAGTATAGCAATATCTGATAATATCAAATGATTTTACCTTGTCATTGCGTTAGAGAATTTCTGTGTATCCAATCCATGCAGAAATGGAGGGACTTGCTCCAGTGGAACTAGCAGTTACCGTTGCTTCTGTACTGAACAATGGACTGGAAAAAACTGTGATAAACGTAGGAATTAAAATTAAAATCTACTTTTTAAATTTATGTTTTTATACAGCTGCAACTCCACCAGCAGAGCCATATTTTTTTGCAAGTTACAATAGAACATTTTATCATGAGTTTGGAAGCACTGTGCTACTCTCTTGTCCAGTGACAGGGTATCCTCAACCAAACATAATCTGGTTTAAGGATGATGTGTTGTTGGTCGGTGCCATAACTGAGGATTATGAAATCAAAAAGCTTGACTTAAACACCAGAGGGATTTATCGATGTGAAGCAACCAATGAGCTTGGAAGCATAAAATCTGATAACATGACTGTAAAAATAAAAGGTGAGAGTCTAACATGAAATTATTTGAATATTAAATTTTGTTCTTTTATACAAAGGATTGGTACAATATCTGATTACTGTTAAATTTTCTAAAGAATTCATTGATAATTTTTTTGGGCATGAAACACGTAGGAGACGACAAGATGATGATGATACTTATAAAGCAACAGAAGAACGTTTAAATGCACTCATTGGAAGAGTAAGAGTAGTGAAAAAAATAAAGTTTTAAACTATATTTTAGGTTGAGAGTGATCTTATGGTTTTATTGAAAGAAAACAACTCATTAGTTTTTGAATTTGTCAGCATGGTGCATCATGGCATTGCTACGTAAGTAAAGTTTGCACAGTTTTACCATACAATGATTATACTGTACTTGTACTACTATGTAGGTCACTATTGCAGCCTATACAACTGTTACTCACAATTTTGTCTGATACTGGTGGGTCTGATCTATTAAAATCAATAGTGGAAGATTCCTTTAATAAACTGAAGCAAAAACTGGCAATGGCTTTTGAAACTGATGGTAATCCATTTAGCAGCACTGTTGCAAGATTTGGTAAAATAGCAAAAAATGTATTAATAATCATTAATTCATTAATTCTTTATAGATGGTTGTACTCCAGCGACTACAGTAATTCCTTCACCAAATGGTGATCCTAATTTGGATTTTGCCTTCCCTTGGCCAGAAACTGACTTATCTCAATTAATAACACTGAGGTATTAATGTTTATATTGTTCAACAAGTAATAGGGCTCCATTTTTAAATTCATTTTATTTCAAAGATGTCCGTGTGGACCAGAGGGCTTCGATATTGGAGTGATAAGAAATGCAACAAGGAAATGCGGTGGAAACTTTGAGAATGGGGCAGTCTGGGAATCACCAATTGATGAAGCATGTAATTTCAGTACTAGTGCAAGGGAGCTGTGTGCATTGGCATCAGTAAGTGCTAATATTGACTAGAAGAGCTGATATTAAATTTGTATCAATTATAAATATTATGCTTTATTTTATAGTTGGAGGAACCTGTTGAAGTCTTGACTGGTCTAGACAACATAACTGCTTCCACTGAAGATATTGGATCACTAGAACTCTCAATCTCTACAGTGTTTGTTGAAAACTTAACAACAATAGTCAGGGGAGATAGAACAGTAAGCTAAGGATCTTTATGTGGCATTGCTAGTATTTTATGCTCACTTCAGTTTACAGAAACTTTCTTAACTGTGACAGACAATTTGTTAAGCATTAATGAAAATGCTATCATTGAGAGCAACGAAGAAGCAAGGACATCTGGAAGGTTAGTATAAAGCCAACATACTACACTACATTCAACAATGTTGCTTTCAACATTTGCCCAGCCTTTGATCACGCTTTCATGTGGTCAAGCAACACATTAACTTGAATAGGAAACCTTTCTATTCCTTTCAATAAGGTTGAAAGAAGATCAAAGGCTAGCAACATGTTGCCTGTAGTGTATGTTGGGCTTTAGTATACTGTATCCCAACTGAGTTTGTTAGCAGCCACTTGGAATTTGAAATAATGTAGCCATACATCACTTTGGTATGCCATTTGGCTTATAGAGAGAACCCAGTTCTCAGGGTTCCCAGGGGCTGAGAGACCCAAGATCCTGTGATGGCATTGGGTGATTAAGAACCTGTGAAAGTTTCATTCTTATCCCACATTCCTATAAAAAGTTATTCCAGTTTTTCTTGGGTCAAACTCAGTTGGGATATAGTACAGTTAGTTTGATCACCACACAGACTATGATCTGTCTATCTGCTGCTATAGATTGTTGCAATCCTTTGAAGGAGTGGTAGATGACATTCCTGTCAAATCAACCGATAAGAATACAATTATACTTCGTACAAAATTTGCAGTGACTGTTCAAGAACTGAACACTAACAGTTTTGATGATGATGATAGTCTAATATTTAGTGTTACTAACAACACGAAGAATTTCAGTTCTGCCAATTCTGTTTCTTTCTCTGATGATTTGAATGATCCCAGTGGCCAAATAGTTATTCCTGGCTCAATTTTAATGAATGTCACTTTGAATTCTACTGTGCGTCTGACACAGACTGCCTTTGACACTGATGCTTTGTTTTTGCGTCGAAATTCACTTCTAATGAAATATTCCTATCTTCAAGTTGGTAGCATTCTGGTCTCAGCAAGTTTTGTTGATTACAATATCAGTAACCAAGAAGATTTGATTAATATTACTATGAAAAAAGACAAGGTATGGCATTATCAATGTGCTTCATGAGTAATTTATAAAAATTCTTTTATAGATTCATCATATAAATGCCATATGTTCATATTGGAACTATACAGCTGATGGTAAGCTAATAAAATTAAAAAATTGTTTTAATATTTGTTGTAGATTACTATGGGAATTGGTCCAATTATGGCTGCAGTGTACTTTATGAAGATTCAGATATTGTTATCTGTGGCTGCAACCATCTAACAACCTTTGCATTGCTACTGGTAATGAGACTTTTCTATTCGAACATTTCACTGCATGTTGATTTAATTCATTATTTAGGATGTATCTCCAGAAGATGACCCTAATAGACCACCACCTTTTACAGAGTTTGCTACAGCATTAACCTTTATTGGTTGTGCCGTATCAATATTATGTCTTGTACTGATTATACTCACTTACTCCATTGAAAAGTAAACCCTTAAGTGCTTATTCTGTTATGAATAACTGTTGCTTCTTTTAGGCGTTTAAGGAACACAAACAATGGAAAGCTACTCATCAACATGTCATGTGCTTTGGTTGGTTTGTACGTTTCTTTCATTCCTGCATCATATGCAGCACCAATTGAAGAACTTTGTGTGGTTGTGGGTGCTTTCCTCCACTACTTCTCTCTTGCCACGTTTCTTTCTATGGCGTCTGAAGCTACTATACTTTATGTAGAACTTGTTAAAGTCTTTGCTAGTGGTAAAGGCAATATGATCATGAAAGCAATCCTGGTAACATGGGGTGAGTCATAATTTTAAGTGAAGCGGTTCAATTAGTTATTTTTATATTTAGTGACACCATTTTTTCTTGTGGTACTTACTCTTGCTCCTGATTACAAGAATTATGTGTATGACCGACTGTAAGTTTTCATTATTGAATATGTAGATTTCAAAATGGGGGGACACTTTAGCAAATTTTAATTTTGCAAGTGTATGCTATTGAGTATGCACATAATGGTCATAAAAATGAAAAAAATCATCAAATCCCTCTTTCTGAAATCACAAGTACTGAAATAACATGCTTTAGCTATCTGAATTAAAATTATTATTATTAATAAAATTAAATTTTTAAGCGTCTGATATTAAAATTACATTTTTGCATGTTTATATAGCTGCAGACCGAAAGATTGGCAATACTGGATTGGATATATAGGGCCTTTCTCTGTAATTTACATATATAATTGGATCATGTTCCTCATAATCATTATCTCACTCAGTAAACAGCAGTGCAAAATGAAATCACAGACTGGCAATGCAAACCTGGGGTCTACAACAGCTAAACAGCTCATGCTAATGATAACTCTGAGTGTCCTGTTTGGTCTAGGCTGGGGCCTTGGTTTAGCGTCTACCTCGAAATTTCCTATTCAGTGGCTCAGATATTCATTCGAAGTAGCATTCATCATAGCAGTAACATTTCAAGGACTTTTTATATTCATCTTGTACGGGATTAAAGTAGTGAAGGTCCGGAAGACGTGGCTCAAGTGGTTTTATCTTGTCACGGTTCAACGTGAAAAAGCTCAAAAAGTCGAATACTCATTGAAGAGCACGTCATACTCTATGAGACAATCAAGCAAGAAACTCAAAGCAATGACTTATAGCTTGGGAACGTATGACAGTGGCAATGTTGAACTAAAGAAAGTCAATCATCAATCACAATTCAATTCCATGTCGCCTTCTCCAGAACCAGCCGATAAACCGGCCATCACAGACTCAACTGTTAAAAAGCTCTTAATACTCGAAGAAGGGAAGCTAAAAACAGAAAAATTAGCAAACGGTTGCAAGTCAGAAGATTTGGACAATAAATCAGGTCAAGCTTAAGACTAAATCACTTTTATATAACTCATCTGTTTTGTACCAATTTCATTTCTATTATTTGTTTTTACTTACATAAATGCACATCAATGTAATTTTTATTATTATTAATTTATTCAAATTTGATCAACAGTTGATGGTCCAGATACAATGTCTTTATGAAGGAGTGTAGCAAACGTGAGGAATCCTGTGTGGCCTGGAATGGTCCTACGCTGGGCACAAGTCCATATTGTCTCTGATGATGCAATCGGCTGTGTTAGTTTAGTAGATTTTGACTTGTCTGTTGAATGATCAACTATAATTATCATAAAGCAGCAAAGTAGTAATAGATCACAGTTTGTGTCAGCATTATTACCATTACTTCCCATGTTTGGAATGTTAAAAACGCAGGGGCGGACATCAAATGGTCTCAGCAAGCACTCCATAACACCAATGTCTGACAAATCAAAATAAAATAACAAAAAATGCTTTTTAAAATAAAAAAAATTCTAAAAAATTGTTGATAAAATTTTGAATGTCATCATACCTTTAAAGCCAAGCTTGTTCAATTCTTCACAAGTTTTTTGGACTTGCTCTATGCACGGAGAAAATGAGCAAATTCTCCCTCCTGTTCTCTATAAAGTGAAGTAAAAATAAAATTACACTCCAATGACTGATTCTCTAACTTTTATTGCTGTTTTAGCTGAACTGATTGCCTCCCAAGGATTCGGTAAGTCAAGAAAAACTAAATGAAGATCGGGTAAGACGAAAATAACAATTACCTCTCTCCATTTTATGCTGGAAAATGAAATTTAAACCAGAACTTATAATAGGGACAGCACATCAAGAGTAAATTTTACTATCATTATTATTTACTCTTGTTTACATTCATACCTAAATAGTCCCTGGCCCCTCTCCCTTAAACCTTAACTCTTACCAGCATCAACTCTGTCTTCTAGTCCAAATCCTTCCTGACATACATCAGAACACTTTACAGTAACAATGTGACTCAGGCCATGAGCTTCAAACTCGTCTCTAAAGCCACACAAAGTATAAGCTTGAAGTCTCTGATAATTAAATATACTTTGCTATTTGCGAGCGCTTTTCATGAAATTCGAACGTAAAGAGATGACCATCAGGTGCAATTGTTCTTGCAATTGCATGTGAGAGCGATCCACTACCTGTACCTACATGTACAAGTTAAAAACAGAGTTTGGGAACTTTCCTATGTACACTCACTTAAAGTATTAATTATTTGACTATAATACAAAAAATTATATTTAATAAATATCACAAGGAACAAGCCACATTCAATGCAAATGAAAGGTGAAAAATAAATTTAATAAAAATGAATTTTTAATAGGACAGCCTTGTTCAATTGTATATTCAATGAATGCACTGAAGTTTGTAATAAAGTATAGCAGATTTTTTTCGAAGATAATAATTTTCACGAATGACCTGTATCCGAAGGTTCACGAAATTAATTTTTGCGAATTTTCACTATTCTGTCATCTTGTACCGTATTAAATTGATTTTCAAGGAATTTAATTTTGCAAATCTTAAAAAATCTGCAAAATTCACAAAATTTGTTATCCTCAAAAAAACTGCTATACAGTACTAACCACATTCACAGACAGTTGAGCCAGGTCTTAGCTCCAGTTGCATTGTGATCATACTGATGTCAGTGGAATAGAGTATCTGTGTTCTGTGTGGTAATGAAAGCGTCCATAGTTCTGGAGTAGGATGAAGGACTATGACCCAGCCCTTATTGTTACTGGTGTATACCTGCATGTTTGATTAAATAAAATAAATATGTCTTATACTCATCAGTTAAATTTTTATTACACAGCTTTATTAAAAATATAATTTAACTCTATCAAACTATCTCTCTCTATCTCTAAATTAAAATCATTCATTTCATCAAACTTATATTGAACTATTATTTGTTAATTTATTATTAGCTTTTGCTATGATCATAAAAAAAAAATTAATTTATCATAACTTATTAATGGTTTCATTATTACTACTACTACTACTTACTACTGCTAATATTATTATTATTATTATTATTATTATTCTAATACCTTAGACCCAAACTCGACTCCAATTAGTTTATCGTGTAGGATTGCTCCTCCTAACACTTGTGTGACTCCTCCTCTCTTTACAATGACTGGGATTAGTCTCTCTCTACCCTACAAAAAGGAAAAATATTATAGCTGATACCTTGAGCCTTTACTCTACAAATAATGACAGTGTCCCCTTCTTCTATAGCAGCCTTGTATTTAAGAAAACTCATTTTGAAATAGACATGAAATGATTAATTTTTAGAAGACATTTTAAAGGATATTCATGATTGGAATGTGGTCAATTGCTATGGAAACACATGTGATTATAGATACAAGATCAAGAAGGTGTGGATCACTCTGATATGGAGCAGTACCATGTAATGGAGCTAATAGGAGAAGGCTCTTTTGGCAGGGTCTACAAGGGAAGGATAAAACATTCAAAAAAGGTTCATTAAATAAATACAGATCTAGATCTAACTGCTACTCATTTGTCTCAAGTTAATAATTAATAATAATTATTATTATTGTCTAAAATAATAATATAAAATAATTATTGTTTAGGTGGTTGCGTTAAAATTCATTCCAAAAGTTGGTCGTTCAGAGATTGAGCTAACAAACCTACGGAGGGAGATATCTATTATGGCTGAACTAAGTCATCCTAATATCATAGAGCTTTATGACTGCTTTGAAACACCAGACGAGGTATTTTATGGAAATTTTTTTCATTTGCTCCATTTTTAAAAGTGATACAATTGGCCTGATTAAAAAATTTGTAAAAAAATTCAAAATTGATCGTAATCAGTTCAAACTTTCTACACAACGTAAGTACATGTATATGCATCAGAGAAAGTTATAAAAATGGAGAAATTTTCGTTTTCAATTTTGGTCAAATTTGAACAAAGTTCCTGTACTATAGTACAGGGACTTTGGCCTGATTTTGGAGTAATTTTAAAAATTTGTAAAAAATTCAAACTTGATCAGAATCAAGTCAAACTTTCTACACAAAATATGTACATGTTGATGTTTATTTATCTGATTGCCCCATTAAATTTAGTATACAACTGTACATTGTACATATTTTTGGTAGGTGTGCATGGTGACTGAATTTGGTGAAGGAGATCTTTTCCAAATACTGGAAGATGACACAACATTACCAGAATCAGAAGTAAAACAATCATCTTCGTATCTTCTCTCTCTCTCTTCTTTCTCTCTTTCTCTCTCTCTCTCTCTCACACACACACACACACACACCCTCTCTCTTCCTCTCTCTTTACTTTTATTTTCTCTCCATTTCTCTCATTTTCCTTCAGATTCAAGTGATTGCTGTCCAGTTGGTGTCTGCACTTTTCTACTTACATTCAAGGAGGATACTCCATAGAGACATGAAGCCTCAGAATATTCTCATTGGAAAAGGACGACAAACAAAACTTTGTGATTTTGGGTAAAAGTAGTGTTAGCAACTTTTATTTTTATTACTGACTATAATTACCTGTCATACTTAAACTTATATTTTTATTTTATTTTATAAACACAGATTTGCTAGAGCTATGAGTTTTCAGACGTTAGTTCTAACTTCAATAAAAGTATGGCAGAGAGAAAAATGAAGAGAAATATGAGTGAACATTCATGTTAATCATTTTAATTGTTTAATTGTTTAATCGTTAATAATTTCTAAAAAAATTTTCCTACATATTTACACTCAATTTTATTATGTAGGGCACTCCACTGTACATGTGCCCAGAATTAGTGCAAGAAAAACCTTATGATCACAATTCAGACTTGTGGTAAGCTTACATTGCATTCAAACAAAATGATTACCATATAGCCAGAATTGTGGTAAGCTTACATTGCATTCAAACAAAATGATTACCATATAGCCAGAAAGTTTTGTGGCAAAAGACTTTTGTGGTTTTGGTGGCTCCCAGTCTATTTGTGGTTTTTATTTTTGTGGATCACCAGTGAAGCATCCACGCCTCTCATTAACCTGCAAATATTTTGTGGTTTTTAATTTTGTGGTGTCATTCTAAACTATGAAAACCACAAAAGTTTTTGGCCACGAAACTTTCCAGCTATATGGTAAATTATTGTTATTATTATCATTTAATTATTATCATTATTATTAATTTATGTGTTGTTGTTGATGTTGCTGCATTTTCACTGTTATTATTTTTTATTTATTATTATTTATTATATTTTAGGGCTTTGGGTTGCATATTGTACGAGCTATTTGTTGGTGAGCCGCCATTTTATACCAACAACATTGTCCAACTTGTCAAGATGATAACAAATGTAAAAATACACTCAATACTGTTGCCTTTATTTTTCTGTTATTTATTGTGTAGGATGATGTGTTTTTTCCAGATACAATGAGCAATGTCTTTAATGTACAGAAGTCATTATTTATTTCCTCAATTTATTTATTATTTTAATTTTACTATTATTATAATAGAATTTCCTAAAGGGTTTATTGGAGAAGGATTCTAGTAAGAGGCTCTCATGGCCTGACCTCCTTTATCATCCATTTGTGATGGAAGGTATTATAGTATTAGTATAACAGTTGGGGCATAGTATATGTAGTGACATAGACTACACTGACTGTATAGTTTTACTAATGCAGAACTAAGTTATATACCCAACATATTAAATGGCAATGAATATATGTAGGTAGAATTAGTGTCAGAAAAGTAGGATTTTTGATTATATCATGGTTATTCATTGCTGTAATTCTATTCAGTCTTGTTTGTGTTCCTTAAGAGAATCCTACTCAATCTTTCTCCTCTTTACACTTCCTGTATCTCTTTTAGGTTTAGATCACGAGTATTTGGCCCAGTGTGCAAAGGAAGGACACATCACTGCTTCCTCCAGGCCAAGCAGCACCTCATTACCTTCAGAGCAAGAGACATTTACACCTATTGTAAGTAGAAAGATTAAATCATGCATGTGTACTTACTGATAAAGTGCTTTTGTTTATATTTTAATTTGATTTTAGCATTGAAGGATATCATAATGGTACATGTATTTCATGAAAAATTGCTAAGAGATAATTTTTATTTTCATTCTGATTCCAGTCACTGTAGAAATTTGCTTACCGAATTGTAATAAAAATTTGATTTATATTACTTTTTAATAGCAATATTACTTTGCTTTAATTAGTTTACATGCATGTTACATCGATAGTTACAGTAATTAACTCTATGTATTAATCAATATTAAACGAAATAAATACTAAATTAATGAGTTTAGCCTGTTTTTCCAGTTAGATAAACCTGTTTGCATCAGCTCTGCGTGGACCAATGGAGAGGATAAAGACAAAACGGATACGAAAAGAACCGAAGAAGACATTGTATTACCACAATGTGCTGCTTGGATGGAAACAAAGGATAAATTAGCTGAGATAATATCATCAAATGGTACTATGCATTCAATGCTAATTCCCAAAATTTAAAAATAATTCTTTTGTACATGCATGCAGTATTAATTCATTCATTATTATTGTTAAAATATTTAATATTTTTTTATTTTCAGCTCCAAACAGTGAGAAAGACCTTACTGAATTACTAAGGCCTTGGCTATCAAAAGCGAACTTCTTACCTGAAGAAGGAACTAGAACTGTGACGGAATGTATTGAAATCGTTTCAATACTCATAAAACTAGTGAAAGAAGATGTTATGTAAGTGATGGATGCATGGATTCAGACATTATGTAGTGTTATCAGGGTTTCCAACTGGATTTAGCACAGTGCTCATGCAAAAAATGACCAAAGAAACAATGAAAGACTATAATAGCCATGGGTATTTTTCAGATTTTGGCAATTTTCTTAAAATGGTCGTAACTCAAAAAATTTAAGTCGGAATCAGCTCAAACTTTGTACACAGCTTAAGGACATCAATATGTATCAGAAAATGTAATGAAAATCAGGAGTAATTTTTTGGCCATTTTTTGGAAAAAAAAGGCCTTGGATATTTTTCAGATTTTGGCAATTTCTTAAAATGGTCATAACTCAAGAAATTTAAGTCGGAATCAACTCAAACTTTGTACACAGCTTAAGGACATCAATATGTATCAGAAAATGTAATAAAAATTGGGAGTGATTTTTTAGCCATTTTTCGGAAAAAAGCATGGGCTATATATCCTTGGGTATTTTTCAGATTTTGGCAATTTTCTTAAAAGGGTCATAACTCAAAAAATTGAAGTTGGAATCAGCTCAAACTTTGTACACAGCTTAAGGACATCAATATATATCAAATAATGTAATGAAAGTTGGGAGTGATTTTTTAGCCATTTTTTGGAAAAAAGCATGGGCTATAGCCTTGGGTATTTTTCAGATTTTGGCAATTTTCTTAAAATGATCGTAACTCAAAAAATTTAAGTCTGAATCAGCTCAAACTTTGTACACACCTAAAGGACATCAATATGTATCAGAAAATGTAATGAAAATCAGGAGTGATTTTTTGGCCATTTTTTGGAAAAAAAAGCATAGGCTATAGCCTTGGATATTTTTCAGATTTTGGCAATTTTCTTAAAATGGTCGTAACTCAAAAAATTTAAGTCGGAATCAACTCAAACTTTGTACACAGCTTAAGGACATCAATATGTATCAAAAAATGTGATAAAAATTGGGGTCAGTTTTTGGCCATTTTTTAGAAAAAAAGCATGGGCTATATATATAGCCTTGGGTATTTTTCAGATTTTGGCAATTTTCTTAAAATGGTTGTAACTCAAAAAATTGAAGTTGGAATCAGCTCAAACTTTGTACACAGCTTAAGGACATCAATATGTATCAAAAAATGTAATAAAAATTGGGAGTGATTTTTTAGCCATTTTTCGGAAAAAAGCATAGCCTTGGGTATTTTTCAGATTTTGGCAATTTTCTTAAAATGGTCGTAACTCAAAAAATTGAAGCTGGAATCAGCTCAAACTTTGTACACAGCTTAAGGACATCAATATGTATCAAAAAATGTAATGAAAGTTGGGAGTGATTTTTTAGCCATTTTTTGGAAAAAAGCATGGGCTATATAGCCTTTTAAAAAGGGAACTGAGCCCTTAAATTAATTATTTTTAAAAGAAGACAAGACAAGAGAAATTAACAAGAAAAGAAAAAAGAAAGGGAAATAATAATATGTAGGAAGACAAAAATTATAAATATGATAATGATTAAGAA